CACTTTTTTGCTCATAATAGTGGTGACCAAAAAATTGCAATAAAAACAGAGGTTATATATAAAATGACTTCAGAAACTAACAACAAATTTAAATATTGATACCGTTTCGATTGGCGCCTCATGATCGGATTGGCGCCTTAAATTTTATATATATAATTTTTGTTTGAGTAAAAATTTAAAAAATTAAAAATATTTATTCAACAACCCCTACCACTTTAGGGGCAAGCGTTGTTGAATAAATTAAAAAATAATAATAAAGTTTATTAATTACAGCTTCTTATTATTTTTAAAAAATTTTCTAAAGATTCTTCTTTAAATTGATAACAGATACAGAAAAAGCTCAAATGGTTTTGTAACATTGTAAGGGTAGTTCCCCTCTTATTCTTTATTGTCTTCAATTTTGCTTGACCCCAAATACACTCAATTAATTGAGTATGAAACGAGTATTATGGTCAATAAAATTTTCAGAATGATTAACGACCTTATGGTCGTTAAACACAGTACCTAGTCCGGAATAAGCTTTCCAGCCATCACTGTAGATAATGCTACTCTTATCCACATGTTCAAGTAGGAAAGGAGGCGGAGAATCACGATCTCTCTTTTCCACGACAAACATTTTGACCTTCCTAAATCCTTCTTCAGCCATGCCAAAAACCCATGGTCCATTGATATGTTCACAATAATTATTTTTACGGCGAGAATCATCAAGACTCTCCATAAAGTGATCAAGAAGCAATCTGCCACAGTTGTACTTTCGACGACCTCTAAACAAAAATTCGTCGATTTGTACAACTTTGCCCTCTCCTCCTAGTTTTCCACTCATGATTTAATCATGAGTTTCCAACCTTACAAAGTTTGTCTAATTGATAACACTTCACTCCCTTTAATTTGAATTGAAAACATGATGTATTTCATCGTCCAATCCTCAAAATAAAGGAAGATCAGCTTTATCAATGATTTGACAGGTGTAGCAAGTCGTGTTCTCCCTTCTTCATAACAAAAAAAGGTATTTTCAAAGAGTGTATATTCTCTTCGACACGACTTACATCGGAGAAAGAAGTGCACCTGCTCGACTCTCTTTCTTAACCTTACAGAGAGTCTGTTATTACCGCAAAACTTATAAAGCCTTTCCACCATGGGTTTTAGGCAACCACTTTCCTTCAGAAAGGTCAAAAAAAATTCTTCCTCCCCCAAAATCTGCAGCAATGTTTCATAAATCATAAGGGTTTTTTATTTTAAAATTTTTTTAAAAAATTTTATTAGAATTTATTTTATATAAAATTTGAGGCGCCAATCAAAACAATACCCATTTATTATAT